CTCCCCCTGATCCCCTGGCCCTGCAAACCCGGCTCAGGAGTGGTGGGAGAGGGCTGACTCCTGTCCCTGCTGAGCCCCCTCCCCACGCCGCCCCTCCAGCCCCACCAGCGCTTTGAGCTGAGCCCAGGCAGGCTGTGGGGTTTGGGGTTACTCTTAGGGGTTTGTCCTCTGGGGCAGAACCTTCCGCAGTTCTCCTGCGATGGACAATGCAGAACTCAAGGGGAAATCACCAGCAGAGCGTTCCTCGCTCCGGGGGCACCGTGTGCTGCCCTAAGCCCAGAGCTGCCCGTCCCACCCGGACCCACCCGGGCTGTTTCCCTGCCCAGCGGCTCCCACGCTCTCCGGGCTGTCGCTCCGTGGGGCCGTTATGCCCGAGGATCGTTTTGCATGTGGGGAGAACCGGCAGCAGAAGAATGAATTTGCATTTCTCAATGGCACCCAGTGTGGGAACCAAAGCCGCGGAGGGTTCCGCTGCCTCTCGGCCCCGCACCGGGGCTGTGTGAAAAGACAACATCCCGTCCGCTGGCACCGGGCCCGGCCCGTCTCACCTGGCTGCCCGTGTGTGCCTGGGAACTGCCGCTGCCGAGCGGCCCCCGGCACGGGCAGGGGGTGCGGAGCCCCCGCCCCGCTGCCCTTCGTGCCATGGGCAGGTGACAGTGACCGAACAGCAGCACGGTGCCTGTGGGGGTTCTTTTGGGGGGTTGTGGATTTAGGGATCGTGCGCTGGTGTAGCCCAGGCCAGGATCCTTCCCCTCCTCTGCGCCCCAAATCTCCGGTGATGATGTGGGGGAGCCGTGACCTTTCCTCCCCCTGCGGCGAGCGGGGTGTGCCCACGCCGCCCTGAGCCCTCTCTTCCTGGCACCGCCGGGCGACCCGCAACCATTTCCAGGCTTTTAATCCCAAGAGACAAAAGCAGGAGTTTAATGCCACCGGAGGAAGAAAAGAAGAGGGCTTTGGGAAGGGAACAGCAAACACGGCGATGGATCCGCTGCTCCCTGCCTGGCTGGGTGTCCCACGAGTTCCCTGCGTCACCCGGGGTGGCCCTGGGGGTGCTGGGGGGGAGCCGGGGTGGGAATGGTGGGGAGCTGGTGGTCCGGGGGCTGGGCTCACTCCGGTGTCTTCATCCTCCTCCCGCAGCTCGTCCTTCCCCTGCTGCCCTCCCAGGCACGGCCGGGCTGCAGAAGCGGGACAGCCCGGGTCACCTCCTGCCACCACAGCTGCAAAGCACACTGTGAAAGGTGCCAGGTGACCACCGAGGTCTCTGCGCTCAGCAGAGGGGTGGCTCCGGGACCCCCGGTGGAGCAGACACCCAGCCTGTGCTGCTGGACGGAGGTGACTTCCCCAGCCCCTTTTGCAGGCTCAGGGCTGCTCTGGAACGCAGCGGGACGGGGACACCCGGTTGCCAGCCGGCGCAGCGGGGATGGAGCGCGGGAGCAGCGGGCAGGAGCTGGGCAGGCTCCGAGCGGGGACCGAGTGGCGGGGCAGGGCCGGGAGCCCCGGCCCCCGTGGCAGGGTGTCCTCGGGCGGGGGCCGCGGCAATAACGCGGCTGTTTGCCCCGAGCACACACGCGGCCCCGTAAAGGGCGATTATGGCAGCAGCTGCGAGATGGGGGAGCCGCGGGGGTAATAAAGAGGATAAAGAGGAGCGGCCCCGCTCGCCCTGGGGCTGCACGGGAAGTGGGTAGGTCTGGCTGGGATGAGGAGGACTCAGAGGGGATTCTGGTGGTCTGGGCTCTCAGTTTGGGAGGTCTGGACGCTCTCCCAGGTCAATCTGCACAGGGGCATTGCACCATCAAAAGCAGCGTCCCCTCCGTGCACACCTGTGGCTTCCTGCACACTTGTGCTCCCTGACCCTCGGGGTGATTTTGGGCTCTGCTGGAGAGACCTTCTCCCCACCCAGGACCCCTGGGAGAGAACGCATTAAAGGTACTTCCACCATTTCAATCATTTCCAGTTTCCTTGGGCTACAAAAAAGCCTCAGAGTGCCCACCCTGCAGCCTGGCAGTGGGGATTCCTCCTGTCCCATCGCTGCCCTGTGCACAGACATGGGGTGCAGCATGCGGCCTCCCAGAGGGACTCTAGCTCTCCTCAGGGGCCACCACTGTCCCAAAAGTTGTTCAGGAGCTGGAGCAGAGGAAGCTCCACCGCTGCAGGGGACCAGGAAGCACCAGCTGCGTGTGGGGCCAGCTCGGGCTCCATGCTCTCTGTGGTTTGTACAGTGACATCAAGGGCCTTCAATAGTTTTATTATATGTGCCATGGCTGCTTATCTATTATTTTTGTGATGCAGCCAGAGATTAGCTACAGGCAGGTGGGCAGAGATTCCTCCAGGCTGATTCATGAGTCGTTTCTCCATCTCTCCCCTCCAGCCGCGTTCCCAAGCACTGAAGTTTCAGCAGTGGCAAAAGACACCGGAATCGGAGCTGATGGGTTGACAGGGAGGACAAGGAAAAAGTACCCAAAACTGTGCACCCAGGGCAGAAAAGCCAGACTTAATTTCCCTCTTTTATTGTTCCTCAGGTGTTGCAATCTCTCCTTTTCCTGGTTTGCATGTGCAAGCAGAGCTGTGCCGAGCTGCGATTGCGAAAGGTGTCGGGGAGAGCCCAGCGTGGCCCGGCACAGCTGGAGCCCACGGAAACTGGTGACACTGGGTGGCTCCGGCCCCGAGCCCTCTGGGAGGGAAGCAGAGGTCTCATTTTGGGGCCTTTCACCCAGTTTCCAGCGCTGTGCTGCACTGCCCAGCTCTCTCTGAGCCCAGAAAAGCAAATGTTTTTCCCTTTAATCTCTTTCTGTTATCAAGATCCCACTGCTACCCATAAGAGAAGTAGGTAAAGCTCTTTGAGACTGAGGTGTGAGTTTGGCAACAGGTCCCAGACAGCCCAGGATGACCCGGGTCTGGGATGCTCTGGATGTGGGACTGGGAGCTCCCCACTTCTTGGTGACATCTGACACTGTCCTGTGTCCCCAGCTGTGCTCTCTTCTGCTTTGCTTCTGACTCCTGGTGCTCTGGCCTGGTGTTTGTTCTGGTTAAAAGCTGTAAAGAAGCCAAATAAGCACAGGTGACCTGGCGGTGGTGTCACAGCAGCTCCAGCTTGCCCAGCCCGTGCAAACCAAGCCCTGCTCACCAGACACCGCCAGGGCAGAGCCCGGCTGCGGGGCAGGAGCGGGCACAGGAAGGGCGGGATGGCCGCGGTGCTTTCCCAGCATGGCTGGTGCCAGGCTGGTGCCAGGCTGGTGTCGAGTTTACACCTGACCCCTCTCTGCATCTGCAGCTCCCACAGCCCAGACACTCGTGTTTCTGCGCTGTGGGGATCTGTGCTTGCAGGGCTGCAGTCCGGGGCTCTGCTGGGATGTTCCTGCTCTGGGTGCCCTCGGGGGATCCTGAGCTGTGACACCGGAGCAGCTTTGGGTGCTGTGGGGCCTTTTCCAATGCAGTGGGTGCTCTGAGAGGGCTGGAGAGCTCTGCTGTGGCTACCAGGAGCTCTGGGAGGGCACTGGGGGCCTGGACCTCCTCCTGGCTGTGCCACATCCCAATCAAACATGCCCAGCCCCTGGCAAAGCCCAGGCAGGGACTGGTGGCTTCCCAACACAGCTGCTTGTCCCGGGGTCCCCCCACAGCCACTTCCACGTGTCCCAGGCCCAGTTGTGTTTACCAAAACAGGGAAAAGAACTCTCCTGGGACACGGGAGCCCTGATCCAGGGGGAGCTTTCCCCACGATAAGATAACATTGAGGCGTTTCAAAGGGAGGCAGAAACTCCTGGCGCTGCCGATAGGAGCGAAGCCGTTTCCCGGTGCTCACACCGGGGTCTCCTTTCTCCAGGGTTTTCACTTCCTCAGGGCAAACATTTCCGATGGATGGCTTATCGGCTGTGCCTGCCCCGGGCCAGGGCAGTGAGGGATGCCAGCTCTGTCACCCTGCGTGTGCTGGGGACAGCCACGTGCCTGCTGGGCCGTGGTGACGTGGGGCCAGCCCGTGGCTGTTTGTGGCAGGGTTTGGTCTGACGTGGGTTTTTAGGGCACGGGGGAGTTTGGTTTTGGCAGCGCTACGTGCGCAGGAGAACTGCCTGAACTGCCCTGCCTGCTTCATGTGCTGAAAAAAAAAAGACAATAAATTCCAGCTCGGTGTCTGTCTCGCTCAGAACTGCTTTTTCCTGCTCGTGCCGGTGGAGACAACCTGGGCCTGGAGTGCAGCACGTTCTGGCTGTGCCCCCGTGCCCCATCCTGCAGTCACAGACCCCCGGGCAGGGGACAGAGCTGTGGCCCTGTGCTGGGAGGGTTTTTGGTGCTGTCAGGGGCTCCTTTCACCCCCAGTGTCTCTGTGCTCCCTCACGGGCTCCGTCCCTGGCTGCAGCCCTTGGGCAGGGGGTGGTTCTGGGGCTCGGCTCAGGGATGCTCCGGGGTGGCCTCAGGGATGCTCCTGGCCCCAGCGTGGCCCGTGCCATGGAGCTCACACATGCACAGCTCCCTGTGCTGCAGCCAGGACTGTCTGTCCCTGTCCCTGTCCCTGTCCCTGTCCCTGTCCCTGTCCCTGTCCCTGTGTCTGTGTCTGTGTCTGTCTCGTCCCGTGTGAGGGTGGGAAGGGGTTAACGGTGCCTGGCTTTGCCCCACTCCCCTCCCAAGGCCCGTTCTGGTCCGAGCCCGCCCTGGACGCACCTGCCAAGGGTTAACCCGGCCCGGGCTGTTCAAACACCTCGGCTGAGGTAAGCGCCGCTTGTTTGTTCAGGTAAATAAGGAAGGAATCGGATATAATGGGCAAAGGAGGCTCTGGCTGAGCCCTGACCCTCACTGCCGGCGTCCCCCTGGTTTCGTTTCCCTCTGCTGGCCCGGAGCCCCGCGGGGTGCCCGGTTCTGGCCGCCGGTGCCCGCCGGGGCCGATGCTCGGAGCGGCCGCGCTGCCGCCGCGGGGCCGGCGCTGAGCCGGGCTCGGTGCCGCCGGCCGGGGCTGGGACAGCGCTCCGGGGCCATGTCCCCCGCAGCCACCGCGCCCAGCGCCGCGGGGACGGCTCTTCCCACCCCGCGCTGCCATCCATGCGGCTTCTGAGCTCGCACACCCTCCAGGTAAGGCGCTGCCGCGACCCCCTGCGCTCCCCCAGCACCCACCTCCCCTCCCCGCAGGGCTCCTGGCACCACTCTGGGGTGGGCACGGTGCTGCCCCGTGTCCGAATGCCACCCCGCAGCTCCTTAGTGCTGGGCAGGGACAGGCTGGCCCTCGGCGCGAGGCTCCTGGCATTTCTCTGCGTGGTGTCACCCAAAATCGAACGGGATTTGCTGTTCTTGTGTCTTCGCGACCTCCTCCTGCTCAAGCAAGGAGGGTGGGATGGGGACAGGACTTCTGGGGCCAGCTGCTTCTGAGCCCACCTGGTGACAGCTGGGACACCCAGGGTGCCACCAGCCCCTGTGCCAGGCAGGGGACAACGAGCTTTGGGGCACCGTGTGACAAACCAGCAGCTGGGAGCCTTTGTGGAGTGTCCTGGGTGGCTGTCGAGGAGTTGCCAGCTCCGGGGTGTCTCTGTGAAGCTGAACCCCTTTTCCAGACCTGCGCTGTCCCGGGTGCTCTCCCGCTGGGGTGGGTTTTTTTTGTCAGCCCTGAAGCCACTTTGGCTGCGGGTTTGGTTTTCGTGGTTCTGCTCGGTTAGTGAAACACAAACACCGTGAGGGTGCCAAATCCCCACAATACCGGTGTTCTCTGGGGCTGGGAGCACGGGGGGAAGGTGCTGCTATAAATAGGGGCTCCCTGGCCCCAGATGGGGAACAGCAAGCTCTGCTGCTCACCGGGGGCACGGCGAGCACCAGGCTTTGCTCGGGTCACTGGCGGGTGGTGCCTGTCCCTTGGCACTGCTCTTTGCCTCCCTGTGCTGATGGAGAGGGCAGCCTGACCCAGGGCGTGGGGACCTTGGGGACACCCGGTCCCCGTGCCAGCAGCCATGCAGGTAATGGCAGGAGGAGCCAGGGCACCTCGGTGGTGTTGGAGGAGGCTGGTGGGGAGCCAAGGGGCCAGGCCCTCCCCAGGACAAGCTGCATCCCTCCAGGGGTACATCAGAGCGAGCCCGGGGCTTGCCATGGCCCCAGCTGTCACCATGCAGGTACCAGAGCCAGCCCCCCGGGCTGTCACCTCCGCAGCCCCCCGCCCTGTCACCTCCCCAGCCCTCCAGCGCCATCCCCAGTCCCTGCCCTGGCTCTGGGGAGGTTTTGGCCGATCCTCCTCCCTCCACCCAGAGATAAGAAGGGTGCGTGGCACAGGGTTTGGCAGCAGGACGTGGCATAGCACAGCTGTCACTCTGGGGCTTGCAGGGTGCATGGGACGTGCTGGCAGGATCTCAAATTGCCACCAGCTTCTGAGCACCCACCTGGGCACCTGCTGCAGCCGTGGCTTTGCAGGGACCCCAAATCTCTTTTCCTGCTTCATCCAGGCTGCTCTGGGCAGTGTGGGACAGCTCTGGGTCCTGCACATCCCCAGTTCCTCCTGGGACAGCACAGCACAGCACATCCCTGTCCCCAGCCTGGGGCTGGAGGTGACCCTGGAGCCTGGCCCTGGTCCCTCACCCCGCTGCCTGGGAAGGGCTTTCGGAAGTGCCCGGGGGCTTGGGACTCATCCCGGGCGCTGTGGGCAGCGCCCCTCCCGCAGCGGGGCCAACCGCCCGGTCCCACAGCGCTCCGGCACAACCTGTTCCACCGCTGATTGGATTTTAATTAACGGACCCATTGTTCGAGGGTGGGGGGTGGGTGAATTTCTTTTTGATTTTTTTTTTTTTTTCTCTCGCTCTCAAGGGCCGATCCCAGCCTTCCACCCTGAGCCGTGGTGGGTTGCACTTGCCAGGAGAGCTCGGGGTGGCACGGGGGTCCTTGGCCCCATCGTTATCCTCCTCGGCTGCGGGGTCTGTGTGGGGCTGGGTCCCTGCAGGCCTGTGGGGCTGAGCCGTGAGCCAGCACCACCCACAGCCCCGGGCTGGGGCTGGCTCCGTGCCCTGGGAAGTGCAGGAGCCCCATTCCTGTCCCAGCACCCCATCCCAGCCCCGCGGAGCAGCCAAGGCTGATGCAATGAGCGGCTCAGCCTCGCTCAGCTCGGGCAGGCAACGGGAAGGGTTTTGGGTGCCTGTGCACCTGGGGCTGCTCCTCCAGCTCTCCTTTTCCAGGGAAATGCAAAAAAAGGTAGGGGAAGGGGGGGGGAAGGCCACCTGAAGTGGCTTCTCAGCGCAAACAGGTCCCACCCAGCCCGGCCGCCCGTGTGCCAGAGAGGGAGAAAGTCAAACAGCCTCCCCCGCCCTGAGAGTACAGCGCCCTTGGTGGGGCGCAGCTCAGGCTTTTGGGGACACTTCCCGAGGGATTGGGTCCCTCTGGTGCCTGCTGGGAGGAGGGGAACAGGATGAGGGTGAAGATGGAGCTGGGGCAGTCCATCCTGCGGCGTTCCATGGCGCTGCTCCCCCGTGGGTGAGGATGAACCCTGACCTCAGAACATCCCAGAGGCGCTGGGAATGAAGAACCCATCCCCTCCCCAGACACCCCCACGGCCAGCACTGTGCAGCAGCAGGAGCTGCACAAGCTGTTACCACTTCTCTTTTGTGCTGGGAGCAGCGTGAGGCTGGATTTAGGGCTGATCTCCTAAAGCTCTTCTTTTAATCCCGAGCAAATCAAGGAGAGGTTTGGAAGCAGGCACCATCTCTCAGGGAAACTGTCTGGATGGTGGGGGCAGCCCCAGAGCAGAAGAGGGTTTGGGTACCCTCTTCTCCCTCCTCCTCCTTGCTGTGGTGCCACTAAAACCACGCAGGGATGTGCTCCAGCTCCTGAACCTGCAATCCCTGCCCAGCTCCCCATGGGCTGAGGCTGCCATGGGTGCTGTTTAGGCGTCCCTGGCTCTTCCACGCTTCTTTCTGAGCTCTTCAGGCTATTCCAAGGACGAAGTGATGAGTTTCCACCAAGTGCAGGCGATGCAGAACTTCAAAACCCATATTCCTGGGAGCACTGAATCCTCAGGAGCCCCATTAACTCCCTCCTGAGCATGGGACACGGGGCTGGGTCCTCATTGTCCCTCCTTCAGTGACCACCCCCGTGCTTGGTGGCTGTGCTCTGCCTGGAGGAACCCTGTGGGATCTTTTCCTCTCATTTTTTTTAAACCTTTCCCCCCCCAGCTAGGGTTTGGAGCAGCAGGGCACCCCCTTTCCCTGGGCACTGCCCCCTGCTCATCCTCAGGGCTGCCTGGTGTCCTGAGGGGTTTCAAACTTTGCATGCTCCTTTCCCAGTGCCAGCTCCATTCCTAAAGCTCCTTTTTCTGCTTTTAAACCACCAATTTGAAATGGTTCTTCTTCTTGTAAAATGCAATGCTGAAGGCGGAGGAGCTGGGCAGTGCCCTGGCCATGCCCATCAACAGCTTCTCCCTGGCAGGGGCTTGCCCTTCCTAAAGTCTCTGGGTGGTTTTTGGGGAGGTTTCTCCATGGATGGAGCCATTCCCTGGTGTTGCCATGGAAATTCAGCAGGTTCATCCTTTTCTCCATGGCCTCCAGGATTCTGTGCATGCAGAGACAGATGGGGACAGGCTGATTTGGGGTAGTTTTCCTTGCACGACAGTGAAGATAATTGCAATTATCCTGTCTTACAAGGAAAGTTCTCATCTGGGGGTTGGCAACAGCACCCAAGGGCCGGGTGCTGGGCTCGGTCCCTCCTGGGAGGTTTGGGGGCTGTTGTGCCTCGGGTGGAAGCAGCAGAGGAGGTTTCCCATGCTCAGAAAAGTGTCCCTGCAGCTCAAGCACCCATTGTCACCCCGGGGCTGTCCTGTACAGGTGCTGGCGATCCCCCCCAGTGTCCCCCACTGCCTCCCACCGAGGCCTCAGCTCCACCTGGGACTGAGCTGCTGCCAGCCTGGGGTGCAGCTCCTGGGGAGACTCTAAACACCCAGACCGCAAACACCCAGACCCTAAACCCCCAGATCCCAAACACCCAAACACCCAGACCCCAAACACCCAGACCCCAAACACCCAGACCCCAAACACCCAGACCCTAAACACCCAGACCCTAAACACCCAGACCCCAAACACCCAGATCCCAAACACCCAGACCCTAAACACCCAGATCCCAAACACCCAGACCCTAAACACCCAGACCCTAAACACCCAGACCTCAAACACCCAGATCCCAGACCCCAAACCCCCAGACCCCAAACCCCCAGACCTCAAACACCCAGACCCTAAACACCCAGATCCCAGACCCCAAACCCCCAGACCCCAAACCCCCAGACCGCAAACACCCAGACCGCAAACACCCAGACCCTAAACACCCAGATCCCAGACCCCAAACCCCCAGACCCCAAACCCCCAGACCGCAAACACCCAGACCTCAAACACCCAGACCCTAACCAGGGCTCAGATCCCGCTCATCTCCTGAGCTCCTTCTCCCTGCTGGCTGCTGTTGGTCCTCCCAAAGTGGGGCCAGCCCCCCCAGCCCCGGCTGACCCCCGCAGGCTCGCGGGGCACAGTGGGGCTCTGTGGAGGGTTTTTCCCCTCTAACAGGCTTAGTTCCTCCCTTTGTGCCTGGCTGCCGGGCGGGAAGGCAGGAGCGCCGCCGGGCTGAGCTCCGCTCCTCTCTCCTCCCCGGGCAGGTTGGGAGCCGGCGCTGAGCAGAGGGATGGGCAGTGCCAGCCCCGGGCTGACCGCTCTGCCCCCCGGCCGCCTCGCCTGGCCGGACCCCGCGCTGCTGCCGCCCCCGCGGGACCCCGACCCCCGCAGCTGGGGCTGCCCGGAGAGCCCCAGCCCCCCCAGCACCCCCGAGCAGCCCCTGCCAGCCTTCTGCCTGCACTACTTCGACATGCTCTACCCGGAGGACACGGCCTGGGCCACCAAGGGCGCCGGGGAGCTGGCCCCGAGCAGCGGGCAGGGCGGGCGGGAGGAGGCGCGGAAGGAGCCGGAGCAATGTCCCATCATCGACAGCCAGGGGCTGGGGCTGCGGCCCGAGGGGGAGCTGCAGGACAGCCTGCACCTGGAGGAGCACTCGCTGGAGCAGGTGCAGAGCATGGTGGTGGGCGAGGTGCTGAAGGACATCGAGACGGCCTGCAAGCTGCTCAACATTGCCGCAGGTGGGTGTCCCGGGGCTCCCTTGGTGCTGCTGTGCTGATGGGATGGCGTGGGAGCCAAAGCCACGCTGCATTTGAGGGGCTGCAGCCACCTGTGGGGGTCTGGGGGTGTGTGGCTGCTCCACACGAGGGGAGGGAATGGTTCCTGAGGGGCTGGAGCTGTGTGTGAGGGTCTGGGGGAGTGTGGCTGCTCCACACCAGAGGAGGGAATGGTTCCTGAGGGGCTGGAGCCGTGTATGGGGGTCTGAGGGAGAGTCTCCACCAGAGGAGGGAATGGTTCCTGGGGGGCTGGAGCCACCTGTGGGGGTCTGGGGGAGAGCGGCTGCTCCACACGGGGGGAGGGAATGGTTCCTGAGGGGCTGGAGCTGTGTGTGAGGGTCTGGGGGAGAGTGTCCACCAGAGGAGGGAATGGTTCCTGGGGGGCTGCAGCCACCTGTGGGGGTCTGGGGGTGTGTGGCTGCTCCACACCGGAGGAGGGAATGGTTCCTGAGGGGCTGGAGCCGTGTGTGGGGGTCTGGGGGAGAGTGTCCACCAGAGGAGGGAATGGTTCCTGAGGGACTGTAGTTGTGTGTGAGGGTCTGGGGGAGTGTGACTACCACATGGGAGGAGTGGACAGCCACACTCACCCCCGTCCCCCCCAGACCCCATGGACTGGAGCCCCGGGAATGTGCAGAAGTGGATCCTGTGGACGGAGCACCAGTACCGGCTGCCGCAGATCGGGAAGTCCTTCCAGGAGCTCTCGGGAAAGGACCTGTGCGCCATGTCCGAGGAGCAGTTCTGCCAGCGCTCGCCCGCCTGCGGGGACATCCTGCACGCCCACCTCGACATCTGGAAGTCCGGTGGGTGCCAGGGAGCGGGAGGGAGCTGGGGAGGGTGGGCGATGCTGCGCCGCAGGAGATGCCCCCCTGATCCCCCGCTCCTCCCTTCCAGCCGCCTGGATGAAGGAGAAGGCTGCCCCGGGAGATGTGAGATACTGCGGTGAGTTCTGGGTGGGCTCAGCTCCGCTGGCCCCACTCTGCTTGGGGCAGGTCCGGGGTACCTGAGGGGTCCCTCCCTGCTTCTCTGCAGTCACCCGGAGCACCGGGGCAGCTGCTGCTGGGGGATGTGTGCGGCTGCACTCCCTCTGCCCCAGAGCAGCCCCGCGGCTCTCTGCAAAATCCAGCGAAGGGGAAATGGCTCGATCCCTCACTGGCCCTGTCCCACACCCCTGCGGGTGCACTGAGCTGTTCTCCCTGCTCCAAGACAGGGAGGGGAAAGCAAATCTTCAGACTCAGAGCCGGGCTGAGCGCCGGAGACCCTCTGGCATCGATGGGGACTCGAGCAGCTGCCTGGGATGGTGCGAGCAGCGAGCTCCGTCCCTTCCCTCCTCTCACCCGTCCCTTCCCGTGGCAGGAGGTGACACCGGCTGGGCCGACAGCGAGGTGGACTCGTCCTGTGCCGGCCAACCCATCCACCTCTGGCAGTTCCTCAAGGAGCTGCTGCTGAAACCGCACAACTACGGGCGCTTCATCCGCTGGCTCAACAAGGACAAAGGTGGGCGGGGATGCTCCAGGGGCCCCGGGGCGGGAGCTGGGGGGGCTGAGGTGGGGCAGGAGATGCTGTAACCCCCCGTGCCCGCTCCCCTGCCAGGCATCTTCAAGATCGAGGACTCGGCGCAGGTGGCCCGGCTGTGGGGCATCCGCAAGAACCGCCCGGCCATGAACTACGACAAGCTGAGCCGCTCCATCCGGCAGTACTACAAGAAAGGAATCATCCGCAAGCCCGACATCTCCCAGCGCCTCGTCTACCAGTTCGTGCACCCGGTGTGAGCGGCGGCGGGACCGGCTGAGCGCCGGGAGGGACCGGGGGACCTTGGCTGCCTCCCTCTGCCCCAGCCACAGAGAGCCTCTGCCAGCAGCCAGGACCTCGGCTGCGGTGCGAGGCTTCCCCTGCCAGGACCTGCTGGCATCGGACACAAGGACCTCCTCACCTCCAGCAGGCCCTGGTGCAGGGCAAGGACCGTGCAGAGCCCTGGCTCCCCACGGGAAGGGTGGGCACGGTGGCTGGGCTTGTCCCAAATCCTCTCCTCCTTCCCAGGTTCTGGCTGTAGGTGGCTTCACCCCAGCCATTGTTCAGGGAGGGAAAGTCTGGGGCGTGAACTGACACAATGGCACCCGCAGGGACAGGGACACCCACAGGGACACCCACAGGGACACCCACAGGGACAGGGACACCCACTGCTGCTCATGGTGGGCTCCTGTCCCAATCCCTGTGGGAGCAGCCTGGCACCAGCCAAGGGTGCTGCCTGCCATGGGAGCTGTGCCAATGGGACCTTGGGCACCCCCTTGGCACAGGTGCATCCCCCCTTTGCTTTTCACTGCAGGACATGCTCAGCTGCTCCCCTTCACAGGGATTCGGTTCTGCAAAGGGAGCAGCTGTGAATGTGGGTGTGGGGCTGTGCACAACGGGGGTCCCCCAAGTTGGGTCCCCCCATCCTTGTGCACAGGGCCACCAGAGTCCTCCTAAGACCCCAAGTTCTGTGCCCTGGCACAAAGCTCTTCCCTGGATTTGGATTTTACTTGGACTGCCTGATTCTGGAGTTTGGGGGAATGGAGATGGCAGCTTTGCCATTTCCCTCTGGACAATAAAACCAGATGTGATCCGCCGAGGCTGGACTGGGGCAGAGAGCTGGGAATTGCTTCACCTGCTCATTGCACCAGAGTCAGAGTTATCTGGCAATGTTGATCTTTTATATTATAGGGGGTTTTATTTGGTTATTTGCTTTTCAGTTTTGGCTGCTGATGACTTGTGGTTTAGGTTCAAATGCCGAGGGTGGCCCGGGCTTCCAGGGATGTTCTGTGGGAGCTTAAAAGGAAAAACATCTGGTTCTTGGTCTCTTGATTTTTTTTTCCTTAAAAAATCCGCCGGTGCCAGCTACTGCCTTTCCTTTCTGTCCTTGCTCCGTGCTGCTCCCACAGCAGCAGATCCAGACAGCCCTGCTCCCATCCTGGCAGGAGGGATGGAGGGCAGCAAGGAGCAGGGGAAGGAGGAAAACTGCCTTGGCCTTTGGAAAAGGGAGCAGAAAAGCAAAAAAAAAAAAAAAAGCAAAGTGTGTCCTGTGATTTGCTGTGTGTGCCAGGGCACTGTGAGCACGGGCTGGTGGTGCTGGTGGTGCCCCAGATCCTGTGTCCCCCTCACAGGTCCCCTGGCACAGGCTCAGGAGGGCGCTGGGTCAGGGCCCCAAAATCTGCATCACCTCCAGCCCTGCCGTGGGTGTCCCAAGGCTTTGTCCAGCAGTGGCACAGGAGTCCCCAAAGGCAGTGGCTGTTCCCCTTGTCCCCCAGCAATGCATCCGAGCCCCCATCCTGCTGCACCCCAAAACCTTGGCGTGGGGGTGTCGCTACCTGGGGGCCCACAACCACCTCAGCCGGCCCCCCGGGGGTGGGACAGACGCACAGCAAAGGAGACCCCAGAGCCAAGGACGCTGACAGAGCTCGGTTATTTTCTCTTGCTGCTTTTTGTTGTTGTATCCACGGAAATACAATCACGAGAGATATATATATTATATATATATACTTCTTAAATTACACAATCAATGTACAAAAACCGGGGTGCATTGCTGAGACAGGTGGTTGGTTGGGTCTTTTCTGACTTTGTGGGGTTTGTTTTTTTTTTCCGGTACCCGGCAGGGGCTGGATGGCTCCCGCCCGCCGTGCTTCCCCTGCATCCACGAGAACACTGGATCCCTGGGGCCAAAAAATTCACGAACCAACGGAGGGGGCAGGACAGGAGCAGGAGGAGCGTGCGGGAAGCATTGATGCTGCTAAGGGTGATGGTATGGAAAGAAATGAGAGGTGATTGTAGGGAAGAGCTCAGGATGGCAAACGCACCCGAGGCAGGGGTGGGGTGGCTGCAGCTCAGAGCTGCGGGGCCGGGGCAGAGCCCAGGGGAGAAGGGGTAGAGCTCCGTGGGGACAAGCAAAGGGCAGAGCCTGTGGCCATTCCCCTGCCTTGGCGTGTCTTGATTTCGGGGCCGTCTTTGCCAGGCAGCTGCTCTGCCCGGGCCGGACGATGCTCAACCCCTGTCCCTGCTCTGCTCCTGCCTCCCTGCAGGAAGGGGAGGATGGGGACCGTCCCCAGCAGTGCCCAAGGCAGTCCTCGCTATCCCAGGCTGGGCATGGAGGTGCTTCCAGCAGCACCCGGCCCTGGTGGGTCGTTCCCTGGACAGCGCTGGATTTTAGGGCCACCTCACCTGGATCTGGTGTGCGTTTTGGGTACCTGCCCACCCGAAGGGCGACGCTGCTCCTGCAGCACAGACCGGGCATCCCGGTGCGCTGACAGCCCAGCCGGGAGGAGGAGGAGGAAGCTGAGGAGATGCCAGCAAGCTCCACGGCAGGGCTGGTCCCACCTCACCTGGGCATCTCAAGGATGGCCGCGGGGCTGAAGGGGGCATTCAGCCCCTTCCTCGGGGCGGGAGGATGAACGGGGGAGAAGATGGAAACACCAAAAAAATAACCAACGGAGTCAGACTCCAATCCCTCTTGGTTTTCTGGGATGAATTTGGTTGGTCCCAGGAGCTTCGGCGCCGTGCGTTTCGGAACAGTTCCAGCCAATCAGAAGGCGGCTCATGATTTCAGTATCTTTAAAAACCAACCAGTCAGGAGCTCTCACTGGTTGGGCTTTAAGATCTTGAGGTATCGGCTTTTCGCTCAGAAAAAAAAAAAAAAAATTCAACTAACGTAGACGAACGGACAACGTCATCTTTCGCTTCACGTTATCTTAGAAGAAAGCGACTATGCAAAATACTCTTCGGAGACAACTCTTAAAAAAATAAAAGCTTGGTCGGAAAATATGTCTGAATCTATAAGGGTGAGGAGTGAAGGACCAGACGGCAGAATGGCTGGTTGGCTGGTGGAGAGATGGAGACAACGGAGGGTGGATTTATCTGCTGACGGTGACGAGGAGCACACCACAAGACTTAGATTGCCTCCACGTAGTTGGCGGGGTACAGCCCCAGCTGCCCGTTGTCCAAGCGCCCTTTGCACCACCCCTGCTCGTCTTCCTCACCGAGTTTGGTTAGTTCATCACCTGGAGAGGAAGGTGGAAGGGAAGAGCTCATTGCAGGGGCTGAAGATTCTCCCACCTCCTTTTTCTGCCTGTGATGGAGCGGCTGGGGGTTTGCAGGACTCATCCTGGCCACACCAGTTTGTAGGATAGAAAGGCGAGGAGTGACTCATGAGCCCTCACGTGCCCTGTCCCTTCCCACTGCTCCTGTCCCTCCTGCATTTGGGCTCAGCTTCTGCCTTCCCCTTTCAGACAAGTCAACTCTTTGAAGGGCTGGGCCAACTCAGAAATGATCTGAGGGATTTCACACCCAGCAGACGAGCCTCATCCTACCTGCCAGTGGCAAGGGACCGTACCTGCTTTGAAGCTGAGCTCATCCTGCTCCTGCCCGTCGTAGTCGTACAGAGCCCGCACCCTCACGCCCTTCCCCGCCGATTCCTCGTCGAAGGGGTTGGCGCCGCCGTTGGCCTCGCTGGTGTTGAAGGAGTTGCTGCCCTCGTCATCGGACCACTCGGCGCTGTAGGTCTGCCCGCGGTCGTGGCTGCTCACGCTGGCAGGGGGAGGAGAGGTAGGGCTGGCTGTCACCGAGGTCACCCCGCATCCCCAAATCCTTGCACAGGCAAAGGCCGTGCCTCTCGTGGCACCTGCCCTTCACGCCGGCCCTCACCTCCCGCGCTCGCCCGCCTGAGCCCCCGCGTCGCCCGCGCTGCCGGCGTTGGTCAGGGCCACCCCCTCGCCCTTCTTCTGCTTCTCCTTCCGCGTTATCGTGTGCGTCAGGTCCGGGTTCCACTCCTGCAAGCACAGAGCCACCCTGAGTGCCCGGCTGCCCGCAGAGCTGCCAGCACCCAGCCAGGGTGCCCGGCCTCACCTCAAACTGGGGCCAGTTCATGGGCATGCCGGGGCCGCTGGTGCTGCGGAACCACCGCAGGTCCTCCTGCGCGTCCGACATGCGGATGGTCTGCTCCAGCTCCCGGTACACGTTGGCGTAGCTGCGGGGAGAGACGTGGTCGGGGGGCTGCGGGTCAGGGTGGACCCCTGGGGACAGCGTGGGACGGGGACACGTCCAGGCCGTGTCACCTGGGGACAGGTTGTGTGTCCTCCTCCAGGATCCCGCACAGCCTCCCGCCACTCTGGTACCTCGTGGTGCCCATCGCGTCGGCCAGAATTCCCTGCCCCTACCTGCTGCTCTCGGCCAGGTTCAGGTGTCTCTTGATGTCCAGGAGCATTTCCTTGAGGAAGTTGAGTCTCTTCTCCTCAAACTGCTGGCACTGCTCGAAGACCTGCTCCATGCTCTCGATGTACTGCGGGGTGCACTTGTTCAGCTCGTCCAGCACCTTCTCGTACTTCTCCTGAGTCTGCAAAACCAGGAGGGACCATGGTAGTACCTCGAGCACCTCAGAGGCTGTTTCTGGGCACTGAGAGGTCTGGTTTGGGGGTCACCAGAGCTGGGGAGCTCAAGTTGAAGCAGGAGCCTCAGTGGGTGGAATCAGCCCCCAAAAGTGGGGTAAATACCTGCCCAGCTCACACTCCCCTGAGCACTGCCTGCAAATCCTTATCCTTCTCCAGGAGCACAGGGATGGGAAAATGGGAACTGATGGTGGAGAAAGGGATGTGGTGGCCATCTCCCCTGGTTTCCCTTGCCCAATGTCCCATGCATCTGGCACAGGGCAGTGCTTCACACCTTTTGCACGTCTTGCTTGCACTTTTCCACTTTGTCCTGGAGCTTCTTCTGCTGCTCAGGAGTGTTGGACTGATCCGCCTTGCTGTTGGCTTCGCGGGTCATGGCCAGCTTCTCCTCCTTGCATGCCAGGTGATAGGCCTTCTTGGCTGTCTCCAGCTGTGGGGAGGACAGGGAAGGGACATCAGAGCAGTGCTCACTGCTCTGCCAACCCCTCTGCCTGTGGGGAGGTGCCACGTGTCCCTCCCAGCCTGGACTGGGCGCACAGGGTTGCCCCAGGGCACTCTGTGCTTCTCTCACCTCCTTGAGCTTCTTGGCCCAGGGCTTCTGGGCTTTCCGGAAGCCATCCTCAGCCTCCTTGGCCTCCTTGAAGCCCCCCATGATCTGCTTGTGGTAGGCATCCTTCTGCCAGTTCTTGACCTTCTCGAAGTCGTCATTCAGGAGGCTGTTCTTCACCTCCTGGTGCAGCTCGCTCACCTTGTCCGCCTCCGTCATGATCGCGGCCCATGCCTTCTCCAGGCTGCCATACTGGGGACCTGGGGGCCGAGGGGACAGCTGGGGGTCACCCCACTGCCCTTACCCGCTCCGTTTCTGCCAGGTGAGGCTGTGATTGTCCTGGGGAAACCCTGGGAAAAGCCACGGTACCTTTCTCGATGAGCTGCCTCCACCGCTTGGACCAGTCGGTGAGCTGCTGGGCGTAGGACTTCTCGATCTTGGCCCGCTCGTGCACGCAGTTCATGAGGTCATTGCAGAGCCGGTGCCCGTCGTCGATCCGCTTCACCGTGCGCTTGTAGTTCCCCACCTGGCATGGGCACGGGCACAGGCAGGTGTGGGGGCTGTGACCACCCCGCCTGCCTCAGCCCCAGCTCCCTGGGGTGGCTACAGGGGAAGCACCAGGCAATTTGGGGGTGTGGGGATGGAGCTTTGGGTCGGGGCTGCTCCAACCCAACTCCCTCCAACCCCTGTGTCACTCAGGGACAGCCAAGACTGAGACCTTTGGCTCAGACACAGGGCCACCGCAGCAGGGATGCTGTCAGGCAGAGGAGGGAGGGCAGCCCCCAGCCCAGGGGACACCCCGGGGTGCAGCGACAGTGGCGGTGGGGTGTGTGGGAGGGGAGGGTGGCCGGGACTCACCTCCCAGAAGC